ACATTTTTAAAGATATAAACTCACCCCGATGTTACACTCATCAAGAGCTTTTATTTGAGTACCCACATGCATTTTGATATATTTTTCATATATTTATATACATAATTATATAATATATATGAAAAATTGATGTGGATACTCAAATGAAAGGTCTCGATGAGTGTAACATCGGGATGAGCTTATATCTTTAAAAATGTCAATAGTTCACAAGATATTTATTAAAATGCCCTGTAATTTCTTAAATATTGACGTTTTTAAAGATATAAACTCATTCTGGGGTTACACTCATCAAGAGCTTTCATTTGAGTACCCACATGCATTTTTGATATATTTTTCATATATTCATATATATTATACAATATATATAAAATATATGAAAAATTGATGTGGGTACTTAAATGAAAGGTCTCGATGAATGTAACATGGGGATGAGCTTATATCTATAAAAATGTCAATACTTCACAAGATACAAGATCATTTCTTCACTATGAATCTAGAAAAAAAAAACCGATTTTATCATATGACTATCCTGTAAACAAAATAATTCTTATTCTCTTAATAACATAGATTATTGAAATATTACAGGTATTGGAGATGTCAGAAGAAGAAGCACAAAATCATTTCAGGAGTAAGTTCAACGAAGCTCTTGTTAATTCATGGAAAACTTCGTTAAATTGGGCGTCGCATAATGTCGCCAAGAACAATAAAACAATATAAATAAATAAATAAATAATTAATGACAAAAATAAAAAAAAAGAATAAGTAAGACTGCAAGTGCTCAGAAATTATAAATTTGTTTTTACGATTATTCTGACTGAGAGTGGTTATTGTCAGTGATTTATTTTATGAGATTTCATAGTTCTTTAATAAATAATAATAGGATGAAAATGAAAAAAAAAAATAAACATTGCCAAATGTTATAGAGACTTTTTTTATCTTAAGAGTGTAATGTTCATTAAAACGAGGATGTAAATGTTAACCTGTATGCTCGTGGCAATTCAAAATAATAGCAATAATTCATAATCATACATTTAGTAAATTTTTCAATAATGCTAATAGTAATGATATTAATACTAATAATTATATAAAAATAAACGATCGTAATAATAATTATAAATAATACAATTAATCACTGACTCCACTCGTTAGTCTTGTATAAAATATAAAACATGACTGTTAATATTTCGTGATAGATGTAATGATTGGCCGTGTAACTGTATCATGATGCAAGAATATAGTAATTTTTCATACGCAAACGTAAGAATATTAAACAGATTTATCAATTACGAATAGAAAAAAATTTTTTTTTTTCAATGCTCTTGCTATATTTGGCGCTAGGATTTTTTTTTCTTTGAAATTTAATTGTTCAATTGGTGACAGAGTTGCTTTGTACATTTGCGATAAGTTGAATATATGGATTAACAAATGGAAAAGTAGGAAAATTGAAAGAGTACAATCACTGACGCAGGCACCGTTTCCAATGCCAATCACATAGACAAGTGCCAATATAAATAGGATAAATTGCTAATTTTATTATAAAGTGTCTTAATTAAAGACTAATAGCTTAACTCACGATTTAGAGTGTGTACTTTTACTTCGAAATTAATTCTCTTATTTTTTATAGGATAGTTCATTTTTTTTTTTTATTTACTTAGCACTACTTTTGAAATTTCGGTAATTATTTACATGTGGGGTCATAATTTTAATTTTCTCTTTCTTAACGAAATTTCTATTTTATTTTACTGATATTTTTTTTTGAAAAATACATAAAAAAGTGAACAATTTAAAAAAAGTGAATTATCACAATTTTAACGAATTTTCAAAAAAATTTTTTAATTTTTTTAAAAATTGTTGCTCAACTTTTTTTTTAATTGTTCGTTTTTTGTGTACTTTTCAAAAAAAAACTTATATTAAAAAAAGATAAAATAGAAATTTTATTGAAAAAAATGAGAGCCAAAATTTTTTCCAATTTTTGAAATTAGGCAAAAAAGCTATCAAATCTTTATTTTTTTTTCGCGAAATTTTTAGTCATAAATCCGCCGTAAAAACAAGCAGAATCAAAAAAAAATTTGAAAATGCTAATTTTTTAGCTAAATATGGCCAAAAATAAGTTTGACCCCACTTTTAAATAATTACCGAAATCTTTTGAATATATTCAACAAAAATAGCAATAAATAAATTTTAATACGCACAAAAATATTATTTAAACTATTATTTTTTTCAATATAAAATTATAATTGATCTATTAAAAGTAGTGGTAAATAAATAAAAAATAAAAATAGAATTTTTCACTAGTAAAATTTGAAGATAAATATTATTTGATAAATCTTTAATAATATGATACTGATAATCTGTCTAATATAATTTAATAATAAGTTATACAAGCTCACTGAAAATACATAAGTCTCTATAGACGAAACAGTTATAATATTATAATATTATTTTAAAACTAAGAAAAGAGAAGTTTAATTTTAAGTTTGGTCGCAATGCAACCAACCGCAATGCAATTATTATTAATTGATTATCAAAAAATATTATTATTATTATTATTATTATTATTATTATTATTATTACCATTATAATTATGTTTAATGATTATTAGTGCTATTAATATAATTACACTGTTGTAATGTAGTTATAATTTGTATAAAAATTAATTAGATTTAGTGAAACTTATTACATCGAGCATTGGGCTAATAATAACTGAAAAAAATTTTTTTTTCAATCGAATTGTTAGTAATGTATACGAAGTGTTCAATATATATTATAAATTAAGAGGAAATACGAATGAAATTTTAACTGCAAAATTATTTTACATTCTACGAGCCAATTTATTTTGTTTGCTGCTAAAGATTTTAAATTTGTTTATTGATTTTTTTTTGTTAAAGTTGGTAAAAATATTTCTCATTTTTTTTTTTAAATAATAGAATATAAATATATTTATTTGCAGTTGGTTATTTTTAATTGTATTTATAACAGTAATTAAAAAAAAATAATTTCATCGATTTCCTTTCGCTTGAAATCATGCCCAAGTAATTTACATTAGAAAATATTAATTTTAATTTATTTTTAAGTTTATAATAATTTTTGTTCATTTTTGAATTTTTATTTTAATGGTTAAAGTTATGATTAATAATAAATAATGATAATAATATTGACCTACAGTTAAATTGCGCTTGATTCAATATAAATAAGCCGGTATGTACAACCAAATAATCTGGCTTAATTTTTACGCGTAAGAAGTATTTTTTTGTCAATTGTTCGCAAGTCCCATGTGTTCAAAAAATAAAAAATAAATAAATATGGTGGGATTTTGGCTATTAGTGATGTTTAAGAGGAATCCCGGAAAAAATAGACCGGAAAAAAATTTTAAGTTATGAAAAATTTATATTATTTCATTAAAATTATTATAAAATAAAAATAATATTTTTTTTGTTTCGTAACAAAAAATGGAGCGATCATTCTACACGGAAAGAATAAGATGACACTGGATATCATCTCAGATTATAATCAATGATATCTAGGGTGAAAAAAAATTTCAGATGGTAGCTAAAAAAAATTCAGATTGTACTGCGTGATATCTGGATTATAATCATTGTAATCTGTATTATACTGCGTGATATCTGGATTATAGTGATTTTAATTTGGATTATACTAGCTATTATCTGAAATTTTTTTTCTTGTTCTTTCCGTGGAGGGGTGCTGTTTTCAGGAAAATTGTAAGTGTGACGTCAGTAAAATTTTTTCAATTATGGATATATGAAAAAATTTTCAAGTTATGAAAAATTCATATTATTTCATTAAAATTAAAAAAATTTTTTCAGGGTCTTTTTTTCCGATTACCGTTTAAGAGTGTGTATATAATTGTACAGATGTTACGTTGAGTCTGTTGAATGATAATTCAAAAATAGCTCGATTTTGAGTGACGAAATAAGCTACAATTGACCGTTGAGTGATTGACAAAAAAGTTTACGAAAAAGGAAAAATAAAATAAAAAATTGTTATAAAATATTTTTTTTTTCTTATCTATCTTTATATTTTTTTTTTGTCTCAAGGTCAACTATAAATTTTTAAGAGATTAATTACGATGAATAAAATAGTTTACTCCAATATTTGATGAAAATTCATCACTATGATTTAATTATTGATAAATGCTTCGTTAAATTATTCTTATAAATATTTATTTAGCTTTTAATAAACCAAAATCAATGTATTTCAACGTTATTTATAAATTAATTATGTAATTAATAAAAATAAAAATTATTGGCAACAGTATGCTAATTCAAATAATATTTTGTTAATTTTTTTTCTATGCCGAGATTTACGAATTATGAATTAGAAAACTTTGACTTAATTATTTTTTTATACATCACACTAATAGTTTGGGTACTTTTTAAATAAATTTAAAAAATAATAGTGCTGCCACAGGATCAATTACAAATAATTTAATGAACAAATTATAGAACTAAAAAATTATTAAAAACTCTTCCAAAATCTTGAAATAAAAAATTGACTTTTAAAAAATATATTAAACCAAAAGGCACTAATTTTTATCAAGACTTTTCTGATGATACCAAATTAAACTATAAAAATTCCTTTAAAAATAATAATATACTCGTTACAAAATTTTCCTTTCTCTCTTAATTATTTAAATCATAAATAACTATGGCTAAAAAATATCAAACCCAATTTACGATAAAGATATACCCGTTTCTAAATTTTTCTTAGTCTCTTAATTATATAAATTAATTTTTGACATATAACCACATTGACATCTACAAAATAAAATAAATAAATATAATGACGTTTATCGCGAAATTCTAATCTATTTATAACTACTTCGAAAACTTATCATAATAAATAAACTATTTTAGAAAAGGAAATGAAACATTGAAATGGCACTAATTCAGGTCTCGACCTTTCCAATTATACTAAATTTAATTTAAAAAACTTATTTTATCCTAAATACGCCACAGATAAAATTTTCCTTATTCTCTTAATTGTATAGATAATCTAAAATAAATTAAAAATTTTAAACACTTATTAAATTAAATTAAACATTTAAACCTTCCCGGTTTTATGAAAGTTTTTTAAACTCTCTGTAAGATGGCGTTGCGCACCGGATCCAGAACTACGTCACTCTCCCGCCAAAATTCAAATTTAAAAAATAATTTCTTATTTAAAACTTATCTGGACAATTATTATGTTCTTGAACTTTTTAATTATACTAAATTTTATTTAAAAAA